TATCTACAACCAGGTTGGCACATTAAAGAATTTAAACTGATTTCGCGACCTTCAGCACCTACCGCACTCTTGTTCTACAAAATTACCGAATGTTTTAAGAAGGCCGTCACATATGCGTAAGTGTCAGTGTGTTTTTTTAATTTTTTACTCCTCTGTTTTCAGGGAGGACATTATGCCTAGTGCCAGGAATTTAGTGGATCTAATTTGGGCGTTAATTTAATTATTCTCTTCTCCAAGGGCCATTATGGTAGTTTTATAATGCCCGAAACGGTATGACACAGAGGACGGTGGTGCAAGTACACATTCTCCAAAAATTATTTTAAGGTCAGTCATTCATGGTGTCTCTGTAAAACTTTCTCATCTGCCTCGCTCTCAGCTGCGTTACTGACGACACCCTTAGTAACTTTATCGTAAGTACTCTGCCATCTCGGACGCACACGAAACAGGTTTTCGAATGAATTATTGCCCTCTGCGATGAATATCTACATTAACTAGGAGTCATTAAAATCCGACCCTCAGTTCAGAGGTGGATCAACCTTCTGAGGCACAGCTTCCGGTTAATTATGGAAAAACAAAGTTGGTATGTCATATTTTCACACCAATCAAATTATGCCCTGGGTCAGACTCTCTCCCTCTTCACTCCTAGAGAATATGTCAACAAAATGTACGAGTCAAGCCGATCCCCAGCGAGACTAAATGTGGTGGCTGACGTGGACTACGTTTAAATTTTTCCATCCCCCCCCCCACTGTGGTCATATTTTGCATCAGACGGCTAACTCGTGCCACAGTTCTACATGACCCCCTTCTATTTCGATCGCTGCAGTAATTGTATACGTAGTGCTGAAAGAAAATAGAACGAACTGCTTTTGGCTTTTATAACTGCCGATCTTTTAGGACAGAACACGACATATGTAATTTCTCATGTTACCCAGCTTAGCACTAAAGTGTCGGGTGTAGCCACATGGACGAGATATTGAGAAGATAACAGTACTTTGAACTTGTCAGTCTTCAAAAAAAACATTTTTAAAGCTTACTGGGAGATGCCTTAGTGTCGCTGTAGAAAATAGCCAACTTGTGAAATTAGATAATCAAATGTAAGGGTTTATCTATCCTCCGGGATTCGTTGTTTACGTGTGATCCTTTCGCTTGTAGTGGAGACTTCTTCAGAGTCCTGCAGTGGCAATTTGATGTTGCCAAAGCGCTTGCGTCCGATGTGCAGTGTACACGACGTCTGCCCTACGAATGACCTGCGTGGCGTCTCCGGCAAGGGTGCGGGAAGAAAACGATCAGTCAGATCGTGCGTCTGTCTGCATCTCGCGCAGCGCGGTGACAGCGCCAACCTAGTGGAGCACAATAAACCTACCGCTGATTACTCCCATCGGTAGGTTGCGAATCCCAAGTGCGTTTGAAGTTCCCTCTTGTCTACGCTCATGTTACCATTCTAAAACCTGCTTCAGGTGCTCCACCCCTTCCAGTCCCGGTAACAATCGGGAGATGTCACCCAAAAAATCTGTTACCTAGAAATAATACCTTTAACAGTGGACTCAAACGCCTTCAGGATATATCAGCGTTTGCAGGCCTACTTTCACGCACTTCTTGGACTTTCCGCGACGGCCTAACATGGGCTGGCCAAACGAACATCGCAGGAGGTTACATGGACGATGGTCGCTGTTACCCAACCTTCCCCATCGTTACACACGTTCACCTGAATATACGGTAAACATTCGTATTATGGCAGTTTATTACAAAACAAAATCATTTTTAAATTGGATAAGTCTGCACAACAGGGGACAGGAACAGTTCCGAGGCATCTGTCAAAGAAATGGCATTGAGGCCAAACCAAAGACGATACTGTACTTCGTCTATGTGAACCCACGCAGCTCGACCACATACAGGGCCTCCCTCGTGGAGTTTCCTTTTCAGTCTAATCCAGTATGCCTCAGTGGCGTTGGTGTGCCATCCGGTGGTAGGGTCCTGGAAGTTCTTTGAGTGGTTAACAGATAAATGTAGATAACCTTCTGGGGGACGACGATTATACGCCTTCCACTCGTCCGTTACCACTATACTGCCTTTGGCGACCCATTTTTGTAATAACGGAAGGGAGAGAGGGGCAAATTCGATCCTTCACCTGTTCAAATAAGGCTTTCTGTCGGCTAGTATCGTACATTCCGACCAGCCACCACCCATAAAACCCCTATTACCACCTGTCGCCTAATACAGGCTGCTTTGGCTAGGCGGATTTTTTGGGTGCCATCTCCCGATTGTTACCCCAGTCTCTACTAGTAACTACGTCTGCCTGCCTCTTCATGAAACGGAGGTAATCCGAAGTGTGGGCTGGCCGAAAAGATCTGTTCTGCGAATTTCTCTGATGATGGATTCGAGTGAGACTCCGAAACGTCAGGCCAATAACTTTCTTGTTCCAGTGATCGCACCTTCGTCTCCTAAGATCTGTTCTCTCGTTTTGAATAGTTTTCCTCAACGTTTACTGGAAAACAGTGTATCCTTCTGTCACTCCTCACATCGCGCTCGTCTTCCTTTTAGGTCATTACTGAACTTGCGTAAACTACTGGAAAGAAATAAACAAAATTCGTTCTACTGCTATAAGTGCAGATTTCCAGTCATACTTCACTGCTCTGCTGATCAACATTTTTGGTGTAAATTTAAGGTGGGTACGTCCGTTCAGTTCGGTTTTTGCAAGCTCTCCTCCTTTACCTGTTACAGAACATTGGTGACCAGGAAGAAGGAATGTAATTCATGTCGCGGACTATTTGGAAGTATGAAATTCAGAAGCCAAAACTTCCGAACTTGTTAGTTTCGTATTCCCTAGTTAAGTCGAGATATCGAAACGAACCGTAACTTATTTGCTTCCTTTTTGTATAAGCTTACTGCTATAAGACTCAATCTTCAATTTGAAGTCCTCTTTTTAATTTCGAATTTTTGCCGAAAGACCTCGCGGGGGAGGTAGAATTCGATCCAGGTACGAGTCATGAGCTTGAGTGACTTTGATACTACGAACCTGTTTGACGGCCTTGTCTTATAACATTGGCCCGTCTCAGACAAGACATTTACTACATACTTTGTAACAAATCGACTACCGTTTTATTCAATGTTGTCACTCCCAGCGGAAGTCGATGTTCAAAAAGTCAAATCTTCTAACATGCGACTTTCCTGTTCTAAGCTACTCCATAACAGCAAGCTTGGGGCAGCTAACAGCGACGTTACTCAACAGATCAGTAATGCACGACTGTTAATCCGCATTTGTAACTGGTTTTATTTGGTCCAGCCCCCACTTTTGCTCTTCTCTTGACGACCAAAGAGGGATGCATTAATTATTTGAGGAGTGATAGCAGGCTACGCTGTTTGCCAGCACAGCTTAGGGCAAATGGGGAAACCGAGAGGATAGATCCCTCCACCAGTCCAAAATTCAGATCACCTTCGGTTCTGAAGAGGCGTACACGATTATTAGTAGTTGGAAACAGTACGCCACCTGAAGGCATTTTTCGAAAGCTAACATTTGCGCAAACGAGACGAGGCTGCAAAGGCGCATCAAAGCTGCGCAACCAACCAATGAAAACAATGAGGGACCGGTGAGGTTGGCACGCTTACCTCGCAGCACCATGCACAGACGGACGCATGCTCTGACTGGTGGTTTTCTTCGAACAGAAACAGCACACAGTTCATTCGCATGAAAAATGTCATGTACGCTTCACATCCGCTGCAAGCGCGTCGGCGACTTCAGACTGCTGGTGCTGGACTCCGACGATGTCTCGACCGTTAAGGAAAGGATCACACGTGAACAACGAATCCCAAAGGATAAACAAACCCTCACATTGGACGGCCTTACTCTTGAAGATTCCTACCCACTGAAGGCTACTGCATCAAAGACGATTCTTCTTTATTCCTCAGCCTTTCGTTAGGTTTTTCAAGGGATATTGAAGTGTGCATCACTCTACCCTCCGGACCTACGGCAAAGTTCTTGGCCAATGAAAATGTCACCGTGGTCCGCTTAAAAAAAGAGCTCTGGCGATTGCATCGGTTGCTTGTGAAAAGTTACGAGTTCGTATTTAATGGAGCACTGTCGAAAGAAAATCAAACTTTAGCATCGTGCAGATTGAAGGATGGATCCATCCTTACTACTATGCCTTATATGTCGACGGAACCCGAAAATAAGTTGAATACGTTCAGTGTGTATGTCATGGACTTAGCGGGAAAAAGATTTACACTTCAAGTCTATCCGTCAGCTACGGTAGACAGTCTGAAGCAGGCTATAGAAACAGAGGAGAGGACTCCAGTGAACCAGCAGCGTCTAATGTTTGAAGGAAGCCACTTGGAGGATGGACGAACACTTATGGACTACAAGATACAAAAAGGGTCCACGATTTACCTTCTTCCTTGTCTTTGATGTGGGTACACATAAAATCAACTCCGACTAAAATGTTTCCATCCAAAACGCTGTAATCTTCCGTGACGCCTTTTAAAAACCGCGTGTCGTTGTTACTGTCAGGGGTAAAGTTCAGCCCTTTCCACTACTGGCTCAGCACTGCAGTGGGATGTGGTGACACCTGTAGGCGCAGGCTCGCGCCGCGTCAACCATTTGTGTTGAATCCCGCATTAGATGGCTGACCGGCTCGGACAGTGCAGTGGTGTCTGGGAGAGGGATGAGAGAGGGTGAGGTCGAGTCTGGTGACTCTATCCGCACGACACTCCCTATGGACAACCTGACCCACTTTTAAACTATCCCGATGTTCGAAAGGCCTTGGCTTGAGAGGGGAGGACTGCCAACTGATGTGACAACTCGATCCGTCATTCCGGTAGGGGTCAGTGATCCAACGTAGAGGTGTTAGGGATCACGGTTGCGATTCGCTGGGTCTGGGGTAGGGAGGGGGGAGGGGTGGCGAAATAGTCCGATTATATAACTATATATATATATCCGGTGTGGATAAGCGGCTGTTGTTAGGCCGTGGGCGCAAGTCAGTGAGCCGAGTATGCAGACCTTCGTAATGAGCGTCCAGATCGACATGGCGATTGATGCTAGTTGTGCTAGAGTGTCAGGCTTCGAGGAACTCTCGGGCCTGCTTGGTGTTTGCCATGGCAACAATTTCGGTTCCTTCCCAATTGAAGTGATGGCCGCATTCAAGGGCGTACGCTAACACGAGTGACAAAGGGTCACGTCGGCGGATGGCTAGTTTATGTTCGTTGATACGCGTCCCAAGTCGTCGGCCTGTATGACCAACATAGTCACAAGAGCAGTTAGCACACGGAATTCGGTAGATAACACTGGTTTGCTGCTCTTCGGGTAAAGGATCTTTCACACGTGATAGTGTTGCGCGCAGGGAGGACGCCGGCTTGTGGGCAATGAACATACCAAACCGGTTTAGTTGTCGGGCAATCGCCTCGGAAATAGCCTGCATGTAGGGTAGAGAGGAGAATTTCCGTTGTTCGGTCCCTCATTAGAACTAACGTCTTGCGGCTGTCTCTGATGTCTGAGACAATTTTTCACAAAACTGGCCGGGTATCCGTTGAGTCGGAATAACCGATAAAGGAAAGCAAGTTCCTTCATAAGTAAACTATCGTTGCTGCAGTAACGATAAGCTCGGTGGAAAAGGGTTCGGACACAGCTCCTTTCATGAGCCGCAGGATGGTTGCTTTCTAAATTAAGAATGACGTCAGCACTGGAGTTTTTTCAGTACACGCTCGTTGCAAGACCGCCATCACTGAGGGTTCGGATACTAACGTCCAAAAACGGGAGAATGCCTCCTGTCGCCTCTTCGCGAGTAAACTGGATAGCTGGGAAGATGCTATTCAGACTCCAATCAGATCAGATCAGATCAGATTTATTAAGGGAAAGGTAGGCGAGCGCCTTTGAACTCTCTTTTGGTTACAATAACGTCATAAAAACAATGTGCAAGGCAAGTGTGAAAAAAATTGAATAAGTAATTACACACAACAAGCATTGGTCACTGGTATAAATTTGTCTGTGAATGCCTTCTATGTCAAAATTGTACAATAACCAGTACGGTACTGAATGGACCAAGTAATATCGAAGCAAGCGCATATGCTGCGGTCCGGAGATAGCGAAAATCGTAAGACGTAATGTTACTAAAATATAGGGAGTAGCATGCTTTGTCACATAAAAGGTTGGGTGGGGCGGGTGGTAAAGGGGGGAAATTTGTTAGTTTCTGATGCACCAATACAGTGTGGTCCATGGTATCGCCTCTTTTTCTTCTTCGTCTTCTTTTGGGGATGATGCACGGGATATATATATATATATATATATATATATTTCGAAATTGTTATTTTGCAGCCACGTCAATTTGCCGTCTCTGTGGTTTCTATAAGCTGCTGCGGTCATCACCTAGCAGGATTTAATGCCCCACCCGTCGCAAGAGGGTAAAAGACTTGGAACTCCCCCACCCGCCCCCTATTTCCTCTCCGTCCCTTCAACCCTGCCAGCCGAAAGAATTCATGACTGCCTCTGAGGCGAAACTGCATCCGAAGTGTCGGTCTAGACAGCTGTCAGAAGACATGTTACAAATATTTATTCCTGTTTTTGTTTGCCGTATTCCATTCGTGAGCAACTATGCTCACCGTCCAGTAGATCTCCTGTCTCTAGTAGTCAAGACCAGATATTATTTCAATGAGACTATTTGAAGCGAGAGGAAGAAGGCCTTCCTTTTGGCTCATAGGCACCCATGATTTGTCAACAGGCTGCCACATGAAATTACACATACTTCTGCCGATGCATACGAGGACACAGGAATTTTAAAATGACCTCGCGTGGACTACTGCAGTTATAAGTCTCTGGACGGACTTGAAACATGACCTTTAGGCTTCGAAGTGACGCAAATTCTGTCCTTTTGGCAGAAGCAGTACTTAACCCCCACAAGCACTTTGCATCCCCAGGGAACTTTGGTGTTACGAATTACCTTCATCATCTCCTTGTCCTAGGTTGGAGTTCATGACTACAGACCACTTTAGGTGGGACGGCGCTTCCATGCCGGATGACACTGCAGACCAGAGCCGTCAGGCTTTTTTTGGAAGGAGGGGTGCCCTAACAAATCGGCAATAGCTGCTCCAAGAGATGACTGAGTCGGTCAGAAAGGCAAATAATGTGATTGGACGTGCAATTCCCAACTGGTTATGCTCACATAAAGTGACTAAGAGGAGGGATGGAAGGATGAAAACTGCCGCGCAGATGACACCCACATCGTCTTGTGTTCCCCATTCTTGAACATATTGCTTGCTTATCTGAATGAAAACAGCTCGGCTCAGCGCGACGCATGTGTTGGACCACAAGGTCGTTTGACACTTAATTATTTATTCTTCCATAACTCCTGTCTTGGCCTGAAATCCACAGTCTGGGGTTGGCAGTCGTGTCCTTCGCGTTCGCAAGAGTGGTGACTTTCAAGCTTACGTCTTTAACCTGTTGACTTAGATTTGCTGCTTGATTCTCCTTGGTTCTGCCTATCATCATGTTCCCTACGGATTCTAACGATGTCGCTGCTTCTCCCAGTGGAGTTGCTTCGTTCCTCCCAGACTTCTGGCAACATGCACCAGAACTTTAGTTCTTCCGTATTGAGGCAATTTTTCGCTCTGCAAAGGCAACAAGAGAGATAGACAATTATTTGATTATTAATTCTTACGGCAGTCATGACTCTTCCTATCATTAGTAGTCCGAGCTTGCTGATAGTTTCTTTCGCGTTTTCTACGGTTGTGACTTTTCGACGTTCGCGCCGTTGCTTTTAGTCTTTTGGCTGATATCTACCCCCTGTATCTGGTCATCTATCTCTAATTTTGCCTCCCACAGTGCACTCTACGGATTCTAAAAATGCAGCTACCTCTCTTAATGGAATTGTCTTGTTCCTCCTAGACTTCTGGGAACATGCACCAGAACTTTATTTCCTCCGTACTGGAAAGGTAACACGAGAAAGCTAAAAGTATGATAACTTAGTCGGGGGTCTTCCTCCTACCATTCTTTCGCAAGCGCAGACATTTTTGTGTGATCCCCGACTGATGCTCCCTATACGAAGCTAAAGGCTGAACTTCTTCTCCTGACCTCAATCTCAGATCGTCAGCGTTATCACGCACTCGTTAAAGAAGAGGCTTTAGGCTATCACAATCCGCTGGAACTCCTGCGTCCTATGCGTTCTCTTGTTGGAGACATGGCCATTGACGATAAGTTCTTTAAAGAGCTGTTCTCAGAACTTCTGCCGAGATCGGTGCAAACAATCTTGGCCTCCGGCTCAGATGATTTAGACATCTCAAGACTAGCGGAAATAACCGATCGTGTGATCGAGGTTGAGCGTTTGTCATCCACGACGGTTGCTCAGGCTTCACAGCCTCTCACTGCATCCACATCTGACCTGTCCAAACTCAAGACACAGATTGTCCAATTGTCGGCGACTGTTGCAGCTGCGGCGATCCGCCGGTCTGTCTCGACGTTCCTGTGGCCATGACCATCGTTGTTCCCGCTCTCGCATTAGAGCTGCAAACCTGTGTTGGTATCATGTAAACTTTGGCGATAAGGCGCGCCACTGTGTCCTACTCCACTCTTTCATGTCCTCGCAGGGAAACTCCTCGGTCGAGAGTAAATGCGGCCGAGCTCTCTGACAACTCTACCGTCCGCACACTTTACATTTGTGATAGCAAGAGTGACAGACGTTTCTTAGTCGATACTGGCGCTCAAATTAATGGTATCCCTCCTACCCCGGCCGACCGACGTTGCCCCAACCATGGTCTTTTTCCCCACATCGCGACTTTTGGATAGTGATCCATCTCCCTCGACAATGGTCTCAGGCGACGTTTCCCCTGGATATTTGTGGTTGCTGATGTTCCCACCGCTATCCTTGGTGCTGATTTTTTGGCCGCCTTTGACCTTCTGGTGGATTGCAGACAACTTCGTCTCCATGATCGCGCAACTACCCTCACCGTCAAAGGATTTCCTCCATCCTCAGCTTCTAACTAGCTCTCTGTCCTTGACCCAAACCCTGACTGTCCATTTCGTAGACTTAGCAAAATATCCTACCCTCACTAAGCCCCATTTTTCTGACACCTCATTGCCCCATGCTATTGTTCATCGCATAAAAACGACTGGTCCTCCCGTTTTCTCTCGTACCCGCCGTCTTGCGGCTGCTAAAGCTGAATTTGACCACATGCTGCAACTAGGGATTATTCGACAGTCTGACAGTCCCTGGGCATCTCCTTTGCGCATGGTTCCTAAACCAAATACGGATGATTGCCGTCCTTGTGGCGATTATAGAGCCCTAAACAATATCACTATGCCCGATCGGTATCCAGTTCCTCACCCTCAGGACTTTGCCAGAGCTCTCTGTGGCAAAACCGTTTTCTCTAAGTTCGACTTGGTCGGGAATTTTCACCAAATTCCGATTACGGCCGAGAACATTCCCAAAACGGCAGTGACGACCACTTCTGGCTTGCTTGAATTCCTTTGTATGTCATTTGGTCTCCGAAATTCCTCGCAGACTTTCCAACGTTTCATTGACCGTGTTTTACGTGGCCTCCCATTTGTTGGCGGTGTCTTAGTCGCCAGTCGGGATTCTGATTGGCATCTTCAACACCTTACCATACTTTTCGACCGATTTCAGCAGTTTGGTGTCCCCCCCGCACTCTGCTAAATGTGTCCTAGGAGCCACATCTCGTGAGTTCTTAGGTCGTCAGATCAGTTCCAACGGCATTTGGCCCCTTCCCTCAAAGTTCGCTGTCACTGGGAACTTTCTACCCCCTACCTCGAAGCGTCAGCTGCAACGGTTTCTCGGTATGGTGAACTCTTATCGCCGGTTTCTCCCGAACTGTGCCGACACCATCCACTGACCAGTCTCCCTGCAGTTTTTAAGCGCACCCTTGACCTTACACCGGCAGCACTCACGTCATTTGAGCAGGTAAAAGCCCTTCTGGCTGATGCCAACCTCCTGAATTACTTACATGCCTTTGGCTTCTTTCCCCAGGAAATTATCCAAGGCCGAAACCCGCTACAGCACATTCGGACGTAAACTTTTGCCGTGAGGCACTTCCGGCGTTTACTGGAAGGTCGAGAGTTCACAATTTTCCCAGATCATAAGCCACTCCCCTTTGATCTGCATCCCCACTCTGGCAAACTAAGCCTCCGGGAGATCCGTCATCTGGACTATATTTCGCAATTCACTTCAGACATTCGCCATACTGACGGGTCACGGAATGAGCTGGCTGACGCACGGTCCAGACCCTCTATCGCTCACCTTCGGCTTTCACCCGGGATCGACCTCGCTGAGATGGCCGCTGAACAACGCCGCGTCGGTTCACCTCTTAATGAGGATTTTTTCGGATTCCAACTTCAGTAGTTATCACTGACAACTGGCAACGACACCATTTTATGCGACGTATCCACCCCTTCCCATCGTCTATTTGTGCCGCCATCCCTCCGCCGCAAAGTTTTCTCCCTGCACAGTCTCTCTCACCCTGGGAATCGAGCAACCGACAAGCTGGTTTCCGACCGCTTCGTCTGGCCGGGGATGCACAAGGACCTCAAAACATGCACACGGGCTTGCATCGCCAGTCAACGTAGTAAGATCCAGCGGCACAACAAGGCCCCCATTGGCACCTTCTCCGGCCCTGGTGCAAGGTTCAGTTACGTTCACCTGGACATTGTAGGCTCCCTGCCTCAGTCCAATGGTGGTTTCTATCTCCTCACCTGTGTTAGTCGGTTCACCCGGTGGCCTGAAGCTATCCCCCCATCTGACATTGCTGCTCCAAAGATCAAGGCTTTCCTCGGTCTTTGGGTTGCCACCTTTGGTGACCGCGGTGCCCGATTTGAGTCTAACCTCTTCCAGTCTTTACTCTCCTTTTTAGGCTGTACCCGCATCCGAACGACAGCCTATCATCCGGCTGACAACGGGATGGTGGAGCGGTTTCACTGCCAGTTGAAAACCTCCCTACACACCGCGGATGATCTGGAGAATTGGGCAGACCATCTTCCCCCTGGTCCTCTTGGGCATCCGCTCCGATCTCAAGCCGGACCTTGACTGTTCCGCAGCTGAACTGGTCTTCGGTGCCACCGTCCGACTCCCCGGTGAGATGACCTCGCCAACCCCGCGAGGTGCGGTCGAGGATCCTACCAGCCTCCTGCACTGCCTTCGGCAGTTTATGCGAACACTTTCTCCGGTTCCGACCGGGTCCTCCACCTCTCCGTTTTATCTCGAGAAAGACTTGGCAACGTGCTCTCACGTCTACCTTCGATGTGATCGAGTCCGCCGGCCTCTGGAACCGCCCTATGACGGCCCATTTCGGGTGCTCTCTCGCGGGCCGAAGACTTTCCGCATTCAGCGCGACAATCGTGAAGAGGTCGTGAGTGTGGATCGCCATAAAACATCTGTCCGGGACTTTCTGTCGGACGAGCCTTGTGGTCCCCCACCCTCTGGTCTGCCCAATTCTACAGATCATCCGCGGCGTGTAGGGAGGTTTTCAACTGTCCCCTACTTTCCCACTTCTCCCCTGTCCGCTACCCTCAACTGCCACCTCAACACTACCGCCACAGGACGCATCCACTCGTCAACGGACTCCGTATATATCACCTGCAGTGGTCGTCACGTTTACTTTCCTGATCAGTTGGTCACTCATTTCTTTTGGACTTGTACACATCCTTCGGCGTCATTTCCGCCGCCCTCAGGTTACGAAGAGGGGTACTGTGCTGAGGCGCCGGACTGTCTTGTATTTACCTACATGTTTGCCATTGAACTTGCTGTTTATCTGAATGGAGGGAACTCGGCTCAGTGCGACGCGCGTGGCATGTGTTGGACTATCAGGTCGCTTGACATTCATAAGTCGTTTCCCGGCCTGATATCCATAGCCTGGGATTGGCAATCGTGTCCTTCGCGTTTGCAACACGGCCAATGTTGGTTGACGGCGTGGAGGATGAGGCAGATTTAAACGAGGTGACAGCAGCTGGTGTAGTCCGGGTGCTGCAGTTGGTACAAAGATGTCCTACAAGGCCGATTGATGCCCGGAACGTCCGCTGGCAGCATGGGTCGGTCGGGGCTGGTTGGGCGTTGGCGTTGCGAGGTAGGCACCACCAACACGCAACACCAAACAGTACGCACACACATGCACATTTCGGTGGATGGGGAAACAATCATTCTAACTCTGGCCTGATTTCGTTTGCCAGTCGAAATGGGATCGTTTCATGTAGTTAGGTACTCGGCGTGACCCTAACCTAACCAAAGTAAACACGCCTTCATAGCAACCCACCCCCAATCTATGATGATGACGGCAAGAAAGTGGGGAGATGCAGTAATGCCAGAAGAGGGAACGGAAGTCCCTCAGCCTGGATGTAGTGCTTTCAGGCACATCCACCGCGGACAATGTGGCATGCGCCGTCACCGCCAGGCAAGAAGAGATGTGTACGGACCAGGTCGATCGATCTGAGCCCCAGGAAGCGTTGAAAACCATGTGTGGAAAGAGGGCCATTCCACAATGCAAAAACGGTCTCGGGGACAGTTGAAGTGCCAAATTCCCCTAGCGCCTATTCCGCGCGTCCATTTGACGTGGTGAGGGGGGGGGCTGCCAGTGGCCTGAAGAGTTGATATAAGTTCGCCTACTCAAACGACGTCAGTAGCCAAGTTTTAAATGCCAACATAGCTGAAGCAGTGGTTAAAGGCGCATTTTACTATGGCGTTTATCGTGTGCCGGCATACAAGCTGCCAGTCATTTTCGGACTCGTAAAGGAAAAGCAAGAGTTGGCGTAGCCTAAATCAGAGGGTGGATTCATCCCCGTCAATCGTTATGGATCAACAGAGCACGGAGACAAAGTGGGAATATAAGTGGGCAAATAATGTAATGCTAATCTCCATTTGAGATTTAAACGACCAGACAAATTTGCAATGCTGTAGCCCGTGGAAAATCAACTAAGTTGGCCCTGTGAGGTCAGCCTTGAGTTTTGCTGAATAAATACACTGTAAGAGGAAATGTGGCGCGTTTTGTACTGTGTCCTGTGCTGCTGCGCTTAAACAACCTCAACAGTTAGGTGTTGTCAGCACTGCATTCCTTGCACTTTTTGGACAGAAAACTTTGAAATGATTGTAACTCTCGCTTTTGTCGCAGTCACTAGCCTCCGGAACCCTCGGATTACGGGCTCGGACATTTTCAAATTACACGGACTCATGCTTGAGGACCGTTGTTATTCTGTTGTTCACGCCTCTACCACATGTCAGGCTTTTTTGTCAAGGCTCACAGGCGCTACCACGGACGCCTTCACGTCAGAGCTGCTCACGTTTCTCGCAGGCCAGTAACAACCGCACACTCTGGCCATTTTTGACCTGAGCAGGTGCCCACTGACTGGGGTTCATAAGCAAAAACGTTTGATTGACACAGGCGAACGGACCTAGCCACAAGCGCCGTTGCATGCCGCGACGTGTACTGGTCCCCACACGCACACGTCTAAAACTTTAACCAGTAGATTACGACT